GGTTAATACCCCCCTATTTTAAGACCAACAAAAACCACTTTACATGCCCAATGGTGACAGAAATATGTTTGCTTTACTTACCCTAAATTATGTTTTTGAACCCTGAGAAATCCTGCCATTCTGTACAGTTCGTTGAGATGTGATTGCGATCGATACAAATAGGCCTGCTACCGCGCCACGTTGGGCTGCATCGCACACGCAGAGCGCGCCCTCTTCCATACATGAAGTGCGCCCTCTGCCATGTGTGATTTACAGTCGCAACACGTAACGCCAGACAGTTGACGTTCCCCTTCAGCGAGGTACAAATCCTTTACTCCAGACCACCGTAGCGCCACCCTTGTCCGCTCTCTTAATGACAACGGTATCGTCGTTCTTAAAAGACCTCAATGCTCCGCGTTCAGCCGATGAAATGTTGATGCGCTTAAAAATGGATTTGAATTTAAGGCGTTTGATTTCAACACGGCAGTTGTCAACGATGCGGTCGAGGGTTCTGTTGAGACCGGAGGCGGGACACCAAGTGGACTTGGTAGGCGCAAGCTTAGCAGTGACCTTAGACAAGTGTTCTTTCTGAGTAGACGTATCCGAATCAGAACGGACTGACCTGGAATTCCTGTCGTGGAAGAAGGCTTGCAAACGCAAACGGCGGAAGAACTTCTCTACACCCTGACAGGTGTTGAACTCATCCCATCGGTTCGTCAGTGGGATGAAATTCAGTTCACGCTCGAGGAAAGAACGTTGGCCATCAGTTAGGGGGAGATCTGGTGGAATGGTAACTACCAAACTCTTTTGGGTAGCGTTGGTTGTGGATAGCGGCGTACAATGAGATTTGTCTGATTTGAGTTTGGGGTACTTTGACAGTTTGATTTTCTTGGTTTAGGTTGCTTTAAGAGACGCATGAAATTCGTGATTGAGGTCGTGAATTATGCCCCTGATGATGTAAGCCGTACGGCCATCGGTGACATCATAAAGATGTCGTCGGCACCGGTCAGTGGTGTTGCTCGAGTTATCAAAGCGCTCGTGCATAGTCAACACAGTACACCTCGTGATTTTACATGAGTGGAGTGTATATAGAATGCGATAAATTGTTTCACAATAAGTACTCTCACCCAGGTTGAGATCAGAAGGCTGGAATTTCAACTCAAACCCATTGGGGATAATCTTGTTACAGAGGCAAGACATAATAAAACTTACGTGACCACGGAAGCGTGTCTTCGTAAATTTTGCCATTGTAAGTTCCTGCGAATTCTAACCGTAACTTCATTGATTGTTGTCTGCGATCTATCGACGTGTATAATATTAACTACTTGTATATTTAATTTATTCTGTGGTATTGTATTGTAATCTTTCGGTATTATGGAAATAAATGTTGCTTGCTTGCTTGCTTGAAGCCTCCACAGCTGCAGTTGATGAAAATGACAAGCTGTATAAATATCAATGCAATATAAATGCCTCTAAAAAACAAAAAAAATAAAAAGCGACTTTCGGTAGAGGCCGTTTAAGCTTTCGTAATAGTACACGTTACGTAATGCCTCCCAGGATTACAGTGAGTTTAGGTTTAGGTCTTCTTTTTCATTATTTCCGGTCAAACCGGAAGTACCTTTTAATTTAAAATTTATTAAGGTACGAAATTTCTTTTCATCGTTGTTATTGTTTGGGAAGATAGTATTATTCAAAACTCGTACAGGCGTCATGAATTATTCAAGAATCCTCGAGCAACGGTTGGAAAATGCCCCTCCCAACTACGCCGCTGGTTGCTACTGCTCAACACCTTACACGTACGTTAACTTAATGCCTGTCCCTTTCCACTAAATTGAAATAAGTGGTCATTACGCCATGGCACATTCACAAGTCCAGCCTAGTGCGACATGGAGTTAATCTCAACACTGAGAAGGTAAATGGTTCACGGTTTGTACTGTAGCGATCTGCTTCCATCGGGCGACCGGTCGTCGTAGGCAAAGGCTCCCGTAAGGCAAGAAGGGGATCTCACACAGTTTCAGCTAGTCTTGGCCCAAGACTGGCCCTAGTTGCCGCCAGCTCCCAACTTGAATAGAGAGAGGAAAATTAGATTAGACTGGTATAAATATACATGTGTACGTGTACATTCATCCTTATTAGTTTCGTTCTATATTTATTAGTTTCGGTATATATTTTATTTTCGCTCTATATTTTTTAGTGTGTTCTATATATATTAGTTTCATCCTATGTGTACTGTAAAAATTAGGATTCGAGTTTTAACTTTGGCATTTCTGGACAGACTGTTTCGTGCCGTTACGTACGGCACTCATCAGCAGCATGACAAAAAAAATTATGTAGCATCTTCGTATGTAGAACCAGACGCGCGTCGGCGCGCTACGTCACTGAACTTAGAACGCATTTTTCCCGGTGTCTACATATAGATACGATTTTGCTCCTCTTATCTAGTGTGCTTAGATGGGGTTTGCATATGATTACTTCTCTGCTATGCGTAAGTTACATCTCTTACTTATATTGGAGTACGGCAGTGCTCTTTGGAGAATGTCCCATTTGATTTCAAAGTTCTTGTCTTCGTCCTTAAGGCCCCATACGTACTTACTCAGCTCAGTCTGTGCCCTCTTGCTCTCAGAACGGAACGACTGGTTGTGGTTTGCAAGTCTCGCCTTGAACGTTGTGGATGTTAGTCCGACGTACGTTTCTTCCTTACCTTTACACATGACCGTGGCCTGGTAGACATTGTTCTTGCTTATGCACTCTCCATTTAGTGGGCATTCTCTATTGCGGGGGCAGTTGCATGTCTTACCACCGATGGCTTCCTTTTAATTCACTTTCTGTTTGTTGATTGACTGGATTGTCGCCTTGACGTTTAGCATGCATCTGTATGACAATTTAACCGTGTTCCGGTTCATTACCTTGTGAACTTGTATCCCTTGGGGAAGCATTGGTCAAGGATCCGGAGGAATGCCTTTCCGGTGTCAGTTTGTACATTTTGGTTGTATGGTGGGTTGTACCAAATCACTTTCCGTCGTCTGGTCTTCCGTCCCTTCTTCTCTTCCGGCTGATATGATAGCTGGTATTTATGCCCACTCGTTTGTAGGGATTCCTGGTAGATAGGGGCAGCTTTCTCGAATGCATCTTGAATTAAGAGATCTTTGAGAGGTGTCTGTTAGTTCCCTGTGACATCTGCCTTATAGCAGGTGGGTGGTTTGATTAGGCATGCACATAGAGGAGTACATGTCCTGGCTTCATGTACGGTTTGTATTCTTCCGTCCGCAGGTTCAATATAACATCTAGGAAGTTTATTGTTGCCTTGTTAGCTTCCACTGTAATCTTCAAGCCATTCTCTCGGAATACTAGGCACATTTCCAAATTTTATTCTATAAATATTAGTTTCGTCTTCTATGTTTTGGTTTTGTCCTACATGTTATTTTCGTTCTCTATTTATTAGTTTCGTCGTTTAAAAATAGTTTTGTCATATATTTATTAGTTTTCGTCGAATATAAATCACCTTTATTCTTTAGTCCTGTATATAGATTGGTTTGGTACTTCATGTATTACATATAATATACCTCTTTCATCCTTTATATATTTGTTTTGTTTTAAATTTATTTCACTTATGTCCTTATTAGTTTCGTCATTTAAATATCAATTTCTTTTTTTTTTGGTGTACGAATAAAGTCATAAAGGGCGCCTCATACTGTAATATGTGAACAAGTAAGGGGTAAAACTGCATTATAAGTTCGATGAATGTGTTCCGTACAAGATTTTAAAGAGATTCTTTAATTATATTTAAATCAGGTGAAGATTGATCAAGATCCCGAAACTGGGGATGAATCTTGACCCTAAAATTTCCGAAATCAAGAAAAATTATGACAGGAAATCCTAAAATCAGGTAACGTGACAAAACCAGGGCTGAGACTGCGTTGAAAGTTTGATGAAAGCATTCACACGTTAATATTTCAAAGCAGATTCTTTAAAAGTCCTTGAGTCGCAGGAAAAATTGACCACAAATCCTGAAATCAGGATAAATCCTGACCATAAATTTCTGGTATCAGGAAAAATGTTGACAAACAATTCTAAAATAAGGAAAAATCTAGACAAATCGGACTTCTAGTTGTTCATCACATGCCCTCAATGCAGAAGTCAGCTCCCGCACGTTGGACTTGGCTTGGGTTTGGGCCATTATCTTGTAGATCACTAAATCCTTGAGTCGCAGGAAAACTCCCAAAACGTTAAAGGTCTGAAAGTAGTTCATGATAAAATTTGCCAAGTGCGTACCGATTGCGCCATTGCAATGTCCTAATGTGTCCTGACAGGATCTTGATGATAAAACCTTCAGATTGACAATGATAATTATGCAATATTGGCGATTCATAATAGTGCACCTCCAAGAGTTTGCAACGCGTTGGCCAACCACGACAAGCGAAATCTCTCGACCCTTTCCAAGCGCGCGTTGAGTCAACAGATTTCGAACATCGTGATTGGCCAACACGTTGCAAACTCTTGGAGGCGCACTATTGTGAATCGCCCGCACACCGTATCTATAGAATTTGGAAGTCGCGTCACGGTTACAGTAATAATTTAACATTTTGACATGGGAGTTCGCAAGATTTAAAATATCTAAATAAGTGATGGTAAAGTCTCCCACTTTCCCGAACACCAATGCTTCCATAGTCAAACTTCAAACGTTTTAGATGTTCACGAAGAGCCATGGTAAAAGACGGTGAACTTCTGTTCGCCAGCTACCACTCGTTACGATTGTTTTCAATCTTGGATCAGCGATCAAACGTTTCAAAGATTGCTTGTTTCAATCTAAGGAATTAATAGGGTGCGGCTTATCTGTGTACTTTCTGTGGAATTACAAAGCTTTGCAGCTCACTTTTAATGCCTTAAAGTATACTGAGCTCTAACTTAAAAGAAGATGCGATGTCAATTGGCATTTAACAGCTTACTCAATTGTTTCATGCGGAAGAAAAAATGTAACTCAATTTCCACACACAGACTCTTCATTATTATCCTTTTAACAGTTAAAATAAGTCTGAGGCGCGAAGCACCGACAGAGCCTGGAGGTAAACAATCAGATGATGGCGGGAACTTCTTTCGTAGCAGACGGTCAACAGGCACCAACGACCAGCGGTATTTCGTGGAAACTATGCTGGCTGCCGATCACTCAATGGTCACTTTTCACGGCAGAGACGAATTACCAACATATCTCTTGACCATGCTGAATATAGTATGTAGATTTTAAGGAGAGTTTCGCTTGTTTTCAACATAAACATGAAAACTGTGGCCCGTTTAGCTAAGTCTCGGTTATAGTTTTACCAACCAGTTTTCTGCAGTCACAACAGGCTTTCAGTACACAAACACATAAAGTATTTTTGAAAAGCATGCAGTGTATTAGATGAACTTCTACCTTAATGGCGTAACAAAATTGCGCATTTTATAGCAAAAGCTGTTCCCAACTGTAGTGATGAAGTTTTAATCAAAATTTTGTATAGTATTTTTGCCTGTATAATATTTGTAATAATATTTGTAATAAAAAAAGGCGGAAGTAAGAATGTACAAAGTAATGCCGTTACAAAATAACAGAACCAACGTCAAAAGATAAGCATGATAAAGAAAAAAAATGATTGTTTTTCAGTCACTGACTACATCGTGTTGGAAAAAAAAAGTTGTTGAAGCTTGAATCGATAATCTAGTGTCACTGGGAGATGAAATGTACATATTTCAGAATAACAACTTTTTTCTTTGGCAGGTGAATGAAATCTACAGGCACAATACCATCACTGTTGACATTCAGTTCGTTGCCACAAAGATTGTCCTGATAAACAAAGAAACTGTGAGTTTTTAAGGCAGCTCTTAAATACCGGTAGTCAACTTGGCTACTGACGTCTAAAAGGGATGGCTTTTTAAAATTTTTAAATAGTGACAAGATTTGGTTAAAGTGACTTATTGATGGATTTTTTTGTCAAAAAATTACGTTAACAATTATCTAGTAGCTATATAAATACTGAAATGAGTAATTTTAGCATAGTCAGTTGAACAAGTAATTATCTGGACGCGTTTTTTTCTGGCAAAACCTGTAGAATCATTTAATACGCACAGGCCTGGGCTTACGTGTTTGCTCGCGCCCGCACGAACGACACGTCCATATCACCCATTTGGGGATGGGGGCAAGTTCGGGGGCGGACTAAAGTGCTGTTTTACTTCTAGTCAGTTGCTATTTCACGCTGCACACGCGCAATATAGTAGCGCTCGAGCGACCCTAGTTGCATTATTTTTTAATATCTCGATGGCGTCACATATATTGCCGTTTGGATGGAACTCCCGCGCTGTTTGTGGTCAATGACATGTCACACAATTCCCTCCGTAATGATAAATGCAATCCACTACTGATAAACGGCGATGCGATCATGCCCCAGGGTCTGGTTCCAATCGGTCGATGGTCTAAGCCACCTATCTTTGGGGCCATGCTGCCCAACTATACATAACTATATAGTCGTCGCTCGAACTCAAAATCACAAAAAAAACCCAAAAATCACACACAGTTAACCCGGGCAAGACGAACGCATGCGCTGAGCGATAACATTACCGCTGAAAGTGTCTTTCAGTGGCACTGAGTTATTTTCATTATTAATTTGATTCTGCTTGCATTATGTAGTCCTGATAAAATTACACAGACATTTTTAATAGAAAACTAACCACTTCTTTACCCTTTAATTTCCACTGTCAGTCTAAAAATCTGATCGTCAAAAACCGCTACAAGCGAAGCCTGACCAACGTGCTTGGTTGGGTTTCTTCGCTTACTCCAAATGGCGAGTTGTATGGTGTGGCTGACTACGTCTCCTTCTTGACTCAGTTGGATTTCGGACCAGCAGGTAAGTATCCGATGAATGTATCAGCCTCAGCATCAAATGGAAGGTATTTCAAAGTTCAACCCCCTAAATCTTTTGAAACCTTCATGGCATACCTCCTAACAAAACAAACACCCCAGAGAAAGTTAATTTGCTTTAAGGCGAGAGTTTTTATTTTAAGTTTGTGCTCAGATCTGCCAACCTTCCGGATTCAGAACTGGAAAAAAAATCAAAAGTTTCGGATCCAACGACAGAAAGGGTGTCGACATGAATGTACAAAAACCCTTTTTGTTTTACTTCGCTGTCCAACCGACGGCGAAGTCCCAGGTTTGTGAGCTTTCGTCCTCAGCGGCCAGCACATTAGAAATACGTGGAGACACGCTGAAAATAGACGTAGCCGTGCGACGCTCTGGAAGCCGTTTCAGACATTCCAATCATGATGCATTCTCGTTCTCAAGGCTTTTTCCCGATCTACAGATACAAAGTTGTGAAGTAGAAAAAAAGGGCCTGGAAAAAGCGTCGACATGATCAGTTCCCGATCCTTCACATAGTGGCCAGGGCAGCACGTTTGTTTGAACCGCTTACTTATACGTGCGCATTCGCATGGAATCGAACTACAGTCAGAATCCAGCAAAATGGCTATTGAGGCAGGTTGACCCAAAAAGTAATCGACCAACATCACGGCTCAGATCATTTCCATATGGATTAGAATTTAAACGCTCAACCTCCATTTCGCTAACTTGCACACGATGAAAATGTATTTTCAGCCAAGTTTTTGCAATGCCTTATCACATACCTCCAAAGTAACAGATTCAGATTTGGGAAGAAGCCAAAATTATGGAGGGTATACTTTTTCAGTTTTGCTGGGTTTTCCCTGGCATGCCTTTACTATTTGACGTAATTGTACATATAGTGCAATGCAGTAAATGTCAATTCGTACACGAACTCACTCGTGTCCACATTAGGTGTTCGTGTACGTTTACGCGATGCCTCAAATTCGGACATCTCACTTTCGACTGCTCTCGCCCTCAGTGCGGAAAATTGAATGTTCTGAGGGAAATTCGACAATAAATGTGAAAATTGGGCACTAAATAAGGTGAAAAAATGAAAAATGACGAAAATGGGTCCCAATGAAAAACGAAGTGAGTTTCAAAGATGTTTTCTCTTTAAATAAAATGTGACATCACGGTTATTCGAAGGTAAACCCGGCAAAAGTTTGAAAATTAGATATGAAGTTAGATAAACAACTGTAATTTTTATAACTGTTTCTGCATGTATTTTTCTTAATTCATTTTGCATCTAAGTAATGATGTTTCCATACGATGGACATGTACTGAGCAAAGCTTTGAATAATGAGCCCTTAATGTGATAATACCGATAATGTTTTAATGAAATCTTTACATGTACTGGTAGTTCAAAGGATATTGTGCACTTTTATTATCACGTGCACTCTAAAAACCGAAGTGCTAATTTAGCACTTGAAGACCTACATTTATGCACTTCTTGGTACTCGTATAGTGACTGCACATGCCGTGCTGATTTAGCACCGGCACCCGTGCTATCGCAGAGCACTCAACAGGAGCTAAACCAAAGCACTTCAGGAGCTAAACTTAAACGTGTGTCCTTGGAGGTGCTATGGTATGGAGCACCAAGATGAGCTGGGCAAAAGCACTTCAGTTGCTTCTGTAACTTAGGTGCTAAAATAGGAAGCACCTATAAATAGCTAAACTAAGACACTCTAGGTGCAGTTTTCAACAACTCAAGGGACGTACAGGAATCACTAAGCAAAATATGTTTCACTTTGATACTCAACCTTATTGTCGAAAAGAATGAAAGAGCTGAGAAATTTGGCCACAACGTATCAACTTCAAAACGAACGAAGTTATTTTTTACCCCTGGAACCTCCCCTCAGGATCTGCCTCTAAATTTTGAAACTGATTGTAGAAAAAAAGAAAAATTGCATGTCCGGTTGGGATTAAACATTAATTGCTGAGATCTTGAAAAGGAAGTGATTAAGGCATGTTGACCTGATGTGATGACGTCATCATGTAGTACATGTCGGTCACGTGATATTAAAGGTGTAATGCACAAAGCACCATAACTCCTTAATTGCATCTCGTATTGCATTTAAAATTTGCTAATATCTTGAACGGAAACTGGCATGCCTATATTGACCTCATGTGAAGATGGCATCAACGGGTGAGAAATCACGTGACATTAAAAGTATATTCTTTAGAGCCCTATATCTTGTGACATGTCCAATTGGGTTGAAAATTTGTAGGTGGCGAGAAATGGATGAGTTACAGACGAATGGAAGGAATGTTCAAGGTGCACACTTTATTCTCCATATTTTTTAATGTCTGAAAGGGTTTGCGCATTTCGTCATTATGACGTCACTAAGGAAAAGACTACAATTATTTTTGTAAAAATTTGTAGCTCTGGGGTAAATATTTTAGCAAAAACTGAGAAATAGAAATGTGCTAGTATCTCAAATGAACAATTGCTTTTTTCTTTGCTCTGTCCTTAAGACAGACAAAACCTCTAGTTTTGTTTTCTTCTTCTTCATCTTTTTTTATGTGACAACAGTGAAAATTATCTCGAGGGGAACAAGGTATAATTCTGTCCTGTGTTCCTGTGTCAATGAGAAACTGGGTTAATCCTGGGATTAAAATGTCTAAAGGTAAACAGGGTGTTTCAAAAACAAAATTAATCCAACTTTAAGGGGTTATTACAACCATACTATATACCTTTCAACAAGGATCGTGGTTGAAATCATGAGTGTTAAAATGACACCAAGGTTTCTTGTCCAGGGCCATGTTTGACTGAGCACCATCGCCCAGAATTTAGGTGCAAAAATGTGTTTGGTTCACTTTCACGTGAAACAAATCAGCACAAATGCACATTTAATAAAAGGTTATTTATTCATTTACATGTAGTACACATTCACTAACAGGTTTCAACATTCTCATCATCTGGCAGCCGATTTCCAAACCCTTTCACCGGCCAACACTTTCCACGTGGCTACCGCCTTTCTCCAAACAAAGTCCACATCGAGGGCGCATGTTTCCAACTGCTTCTCTGACAGTATCCGGTTTTTCTCTCAGAATGTCCACCTCCCTCGGAATCCGGTCTCATAAATCCTCCATGTTACGTAGTGGCGTGGTGTAAACATACTAGGCCTTTTGAATTAACCCATTGCATAACCAATCAAGACATTATTCATCATCAAGGTGTGGCAACTGATCAAGTGGAATGCAACGAGGCTCAATAAGTGAACCAGTGCAGTTTTGGTGCCATGATTTCAATCCATGGGTATTTACTTATGCAGTAACATGATTAGGCAAGAAAGATGTCATTTGAAAGCTCTTATCTTCAATTTTATTGCTGTGGCCCTCGTCAGAATGCTGTGTGGGATGCCATATAGCTGTAAAAAAGGTGGATTACCTTGGAATCCCTTAAAAAAGGTGGATTACCTTTTTTGAAGCACCTTGTATTAGTAATTGTTGAGTGAATTAACTAACAGAATATTGTTTTAATGTTTATTCTTGCATAGTCTTATTTCTAAATAGTCTAAGGATTAAGTTTTATATGTACAATACAAACAATTAAGTCGTGGAAAGGTACAAAAGAATAATTAAGATGGTTTGCAAGAAAACCTTTCAAGAGCAACTTGCAGAAAGTTTAAAGATTGCATAATTGTATATTTGAAAGGTTTCGCTCCAGTGGCGTCGATGTGTGACAGTTTCTGGAGCAGCTCCATAACTCGTGATCAAGGGTTGTTATCTTCATTTGTTATGGCACATGAGGCCGGCCACGTGTAAGTCCCTTACTGTTGTTGTTGGCTTAATTCTGAATAAACTTGTTTTATATGTGTACCTTAATTATTGCTACTTTTGATAAATAAGTTCCCTATTGATCGTATCTATGTGGGTCTTCAATGTCAAATAAGATAAAGATAAAACAAGTGAAGTGTTTATTACCCTCCGCTTCTAAATTTTGTTCGCAAAAAAATAAGGAATAGACATAAAGCATATTGACATCAAGCTTTATTTACATGTGTGCTTTCCAAAGAGAGCTCGATGCATCACATCTCACGGTCATAGGAAAGCGCACATGTTAACGAAGCCTCATGCGTTAAAGGTCTTTTTATGCTGTCGTGAATGACGTTCAGGTTTAGTAAGAGGTGAGACTTTATAATGTAAACAGCATAAATTTCAATCTAAAAACATGGAACATCTTGTAGCAAAAAATATATTAAATCAAAAACTTTTGGAAATCGACGGCCGTTGGGCTAAGCTGTCCTGCAATCAGGCCAATCATAAATATATATAAATTCCAAATAAGTGTGTTGAAGATTAATGAACTGCACCTTTCAAAAGACTTATAATTAAAATTCACGGATATTAAACCCTTTTTCAGCCTGGGGTTGGAGCATGATGGAGACGGAAACTCTTGCGTGATGGAGACCTACGCACGCTCCATTATGAATACATTAGTAATGGCAAACTATGGCGACTACTACTGGTCTAACTGCAGTGCCGAAGCACTCGAGAGACTAATCAAGTAGGTGTGGGCCATTCAAAATCCCAAATTAACAATAACGTAAAATATTCTCTTTCTCAACTAATACAGACACATGGTAAATATATAATTCGATACGACCATTAAAAATCCTCTGATAATTATTGTTGTAACCGATTTTAATACCGGCAAGAGTTGCGTAGCTCCTTGCAGACATGACCGCCTCTTCATTGGTCCAAACGAACAAACATTTCGTCAAACGTATTCTTACCATTTTTTTTTAAATGTTAGGGATATTGCCCCTGTTCATCTGTTTACAGAAATCATCGGTGCTTGGAAAATGTTGTCTTTGAAACCAGCAGTCTGCTCGAGCAAGAGGGCTTTCCTGGGGAGTGGTACTCTCTCGATGAGCAATGCCGGTATACGTTTGGCGGGAATTCACATCAGTGCGGAAGGGTAACTTTAAAATGTTAGCCATAATGTACGTAGAATGCATCAGTACGCCTTCGTTGAAATTGGAGAAGTTTGCAGGATTCCCTTTTACACCCATTTCTTTTGAGAACTCCCTTACCTGGAAAGAAATGTGTAAGCACGCCTTTGATTTGCTTACTTATGCAAGAATCTGAAAATGTAAATTTCCCTGTCCGTAAAAAAGGTCTGTAAAACACTGAAATCCTAAACAGCATGACAAAAATTACTAACCGTGTTCAGCGAATAAACACTTTCCAAGCACTCTTGTGCAATAAGTGTGTAGGTATGTTTAAGAGCTAAACGTTGATTTTTGTTTGATAGTGTTTAGTCATTCATTACTCATGTTTACAAAGTGATAGAAGATAGTGTTCCATTGCTAAACACAGTTCTTAGAGTGTTTGGAATTGTAAAACCACCTCACCCCTTGTACTTTTTTTATTGTTCGTACGCCTTTCCTTTCATGTTGTTTCATGAAGCCAGAGGATTATTACATTTGCTCCATGAGATGTACGGCGGAAAATAACCCAGCCATTTGCCATGAGTATTACCTTCCAGCCTTAGACGGAAGCGGTTGTGGCACTGTCACACAGGTATAAACTGGTGGGAAGACACTCTTATTGCAATTCTATGCTGTATTTACTAAGACATTTAGGCAATTTCAACCATTTCAGGAAACAGACACATGTATGTACCAATTTGATTTGATCATGCGAGTGGCAACACCAGTTCTAATAATATCACTTTGTTTTCAGGTATATGATGACATAGAAGATAGTAACGACAAGAATAACGCTGATAATGGCAAAATCAACAAAATCCGCTTAACTACAAATGTTAAACCAACAACAAGCTATTCGGTCAATTAATGCAACACTCATTATTAGAAGTACATAAGTCAGCCTTTGCGCATACCAGACTGTAATTATTTGACATCGAAAAGCAAATTAAGATTTTGAAGTAGATTAATATTTCTAATGTGGAAAAATTAATCAGGAAAAAAAGAATAAAGGAATTAAGCTGGCTAGATAAGACGTCATACTTTAGCCATTACAAAAATGCAATTCAATGGTAATTTCTTGCCCCAGTGGTGTATGAACGGTGTTTGCATGAACAAGCCAACAAGTCGAAATGGAAAATGGAGCCAATGGTCTGATTGGAGCGAGTGTTCTCATGACTGTGGCGTAGGTGTACGTACGAGACATCGACACTGCGACAATCCAAGGTAGGCATACAGCTTTGGATCCATCCATTATATTCAAGTTATCACCTTCAAAAAGTTCAGAATATCTAGTCCAAGTACAAAATTCCTTTGTCTGGCGGTATTCTTCGTATGCATTTGTAAGCTTGGAAGTTGCGGGCAACGCCAGGTGGCACGTCCCTTGAGGAAGGAGCTGTATAATCTCCTTCAGGGTTTAGACCGACTCAAGAGAGTGGATGTTCAAAATGTCTCTCGCCTTCAGCTCTTGTATTGTCAGCGTCACTCTCCTGATCCGGCCTCAAATGTTTGAGAACGGCCGAACACATATTATTTACTTCAGTGTTTCAATTAGGCAAATCGTCAAACGTAAAATGGAACGTCCCTAGTTTTAGGTGTCTCATGATGGAACGGGTGCTTCCCATTTCTTGCAAATCCACGACGAAGTTCAAGAAAGAACTCTTTACTGCATAAAATCCATTTACATCCCATGTTCTGAGCCATGTCTTCTCTGATTGATATCACAGCCAAGACTTTCCTTCGCAGCATTTAGGCTAGTCTTAGCACAAAACTGCAGTGGATATATTTTGTTTTAGCTCCGTACACCGTACCGTGCGAGAACATGCGCTGACCAGCACAGCTGGAACTGGTAGAGGGAGCCAATAGATATAGGAAGGGAAAAGTTATTTACTGCGATCACAAAGATAGGGCTACAGTACAGATATTGACTGCTTCGAGGGGTATGATAAAAGTAGCTTTCGATGTGATCCCACTTTTGCTATACCAAGAGATAAAGCAGTCAATAATTTGTTTTATAACACCTCATCCACTGATTCTACACAATGTAAGCTCAAAATTAAAAATGAAACACCAAAAAGCAAACCGTCGGTGTATCTATGTGTAAATCCTGTTGGGCGTTAGAATGTGTGTACTGACAACATACACTAGGTGTCATACCAGACCTGACTATTTGCGTCTTCGTTCTCTTAACCTATTCAATTTGTAGCAAGTGCGTAGCCTGGTTTAACGGGTTCGAGATACAGATAAAGTTTTGCGCTGTTAACGCGATGAACCGAAATACACACCCGGGTACTATTCATGGTTTCCCTGCTATGGATATAGTTTGTTTGTCGCCACGGGCATACACGTAGTTCTTTTTTAGAGCGAGGCTGCATGTTTATAGTCTTTTTGGAGTGGTGGTGCCAAAATAGTAAAACTACCAAGCGTCACATGACATACTTTCGGCCAATCAAGATACGGAATTTGCGGGTGAGGTGTTATAAGCACGCATAGACCACCAGTCTTCCGTGTATAACCGTAATTTTTGAAAGTATGGGCAACCGATAGACGAAAAGGATGGACGGCAGCACGTTAGCGTGCAATGCACGTGAGGCAATCACATCGCCTGAAAGTTTTTACAAATGCACTCAACATAAGTTCACTTTTTGCTCTTCGGTGCCGCTGCCTTTTCTTTTCAAGTCTTGCAATTGCACCATTTTGACTCTACATGGGATTATCGTAAATAGGGACGTTTTGGGGGGATTCCTTAATTGTGCGTAAATTCCTTATACTGAGGTGTGAATATACCCATACTTTTGATTTTATGCCTGTGCTGCGCAGATTTGGACTGGTCCCCTTCCCTATAACACCTTAGGGTCAGGTAGCTGGCTGCAGTTTAATGTGTGGGATTAGCTGTATTAATTTGGATGCTGAATATTTAAGTTTTTGTCAGGCCCTTAGCACTGCTTTAACACGACTTAAATTTTAGCGGAAAGCAAATAAAACGCAAGTACCTATCTTTGCTAAGCCTTTGTTGATCACGGTGTGGTAATTTATTTCCTAATGATTATCATTGATGAATCAGTTATGGCATTTTTTTTAATCAGCGGTATTTTCAGTAATGAAAGTTATTTTAAGTTACGAAAAGAAAATGCAAAATAGTCTAAAGCTCGTGTTTGTTCGTGCATTGACGGACATTGTTTCCTCATTCACCTGAAACCGACAGAATTCTGCAGGGTTCATTACGTGTTACCGGCCCCAACGTTTGGAGGACGTCTGTAAAACGTCTGGAGAGTACATACGGGACGGGAACCAATCTAGCGCAGATTACGAAATGATCATGTAGTTTTGAATGCGATCTGGTGGTCAATGCGTTTATGGTCGAGTTTGGGCGGACTAATCTTGACACGGGTTTCCTGTTCTTTATACTATAACGGTGGGAAAAAGATACAGCAAAAGCACTGCTCTCAAAAAAAAGTTTTGCAAAATTACATCATAACAAGAAATGAATCTTCCTTTTCAAATGGAAAAGAATTCAGCCCATTTATCCTAACGTTAACCATCGAAGAACGTTCATGGACGCCACCATCTGGTATGATGTTGCTTGCCACTAGTTTGCAGCGACTATGTTCCCGCCGTTCGAGCAGCCAACCCACGAACAACGTTCGTGAACTATGAGAACATGCCACCCGAATTCAGGCTTTATGTCCGTCTGTGACTGTTACCACAGACATAAAGACCGACATTTCGGCATTTTTGAGAATCATCTCACTGCAATCAGCAAATTGCTACTTCAAATAGCAGTATTTACCTGCAATACAGTTGATTTGACACAGACAAAAGACGTGACAGGGTTTGATTTAGCATGTTACTCCTTTGAATTCAAGTTATTCTCCTTATTTTGATTGACTCATTTGCTAAAAATTAATGACATGCCAATGCAAGAAAGATTGGATACTTCGTGTGTAATATATTGAACCTTAGAAAGTTATTTGTGTAGAGATAGTTGATAATTCAATGATGTGCGCAGAACAAATTAAAAAGGTTTTGCCTTTTTATATGAGTTTGTTGCAAGATTCGATTTTTGGACACTCAGTTTTAGAATTAGTCCCAAAATTGATTTTCTTAATTTCGACACAGTTCTTTCAGAATTCAACCAACTAGATTTTTTTTCTAAATTTCATTTCCACATAACTGATTTGGAAAAAATCCATTTTACAATTTAATCCTTGTCACAGTCCCACCGTTTTCCAATTTTTTATCAGTTCGTAGTGGTTATTTAAGGTAATGATCCATGTAGGAAATCTGACACCTCGGTTAGGATCTATTCATACTCATATACAGAGTGCAGAAGGTCGATCACCATGTCACAGAAAGTGAATACACTTAGGCCTATGCTTAAATCTAAACAGAAGTTTTAAGACCCAATTTCATTCAAATATGAAGAAAATGTAAGACCTTCATTTGACTCTCTGTTTAGAAAGCTAATGTTATGAGAAGTGAGTGAGTCCACTCCTGAGGACGGCCAGAGCACACCGGCCGAAACGTCGAGCTTATACTCACTGGTTGTTTTAAGAACCACACCTCGTCCGAAAGAGATTGATTCCATGGTGTACCCACAAACTCATTTCTCATGTTTCATCCACCATGCAAAGCTTCAAATCTGACTTAAAGCTAATGTCCATGTGCCATACGATCTTCTAGGACAGAATTTCAGGCAAGTAAATCGTGATTTAACACGCACTTTTGAGCTTCAGCCTAGCCTAACTGCCACTTAGCACTAGACTACTACTGCTAACATTCGGCCCACATACGTATGAACAATGGGTGTACAAACAACGTGTGACGTGGACGTGTCTCGTGAAATCGTCCGCGACGCATTGGCGAGTGTCACACCCCTACAGTTGTCCTACCCTTTGGGACAGACCTTTGGTAACTTAGACACCATCATATACACACCTGTGGCTGGAAATTTGTTTTGCTTGTACAATATGTACATTTTTTTAAAGAACACAAAATAAGGATAATTTCTTACATTGACATGTTTGATTACAATATAAATGTGGTGATGAGCGCCTCAATGTCCCGTTACCATATTGCCTCCGTTTATTGCGTTGTAGTCGGCTTCTATGGCCTGTGGCTGACTCGGTAAGTTTCTGCGTCCCGCCGCCGCGGTCCAACCCTTCTGTCACCACCGATCAACCGACTCCCTCTTCCTCTTAACGTAAAACCCTGAAAATAACCACCATATTCCCATGTTTGCTGGTTTTTCTGGCCAAGTTTCATTTAACGCAAAATATTCATTTATAAACTTGAAGTGTTATGAAGTGTGTCAACTTCCAAGATAACGATAAATTGTTTCAGTGCTGCAACAACCTCAACTCAAATTGCTTAGACCAATTATGATTCTATCCAATATTTCGGCAAATCTCATTTTCACTGGCTCAATATCTGGTTTGGTTTTTTATTTTAATTTGAAAGGACACGACCGAGTGGCCAGAAACCAAATTATCCAAGATTATGGTCGGGATGGGTTGCGAATGGTTGACGTTCGGCTTAAATTTAGAAGCTCTGAAAAATACCTGGTTACGTAGACTCCTTAAAGCTCAGCCCTCAGGTTGGTCTACTTTGTGCAACTGTATTTTTGATATCTCCCAATTGACCTTAGTGGAAGGTGGTTCAATAAATCGATCGGTGCCTGGAGAGTTCATCATGCATTTTGATTCGATGAGTTTACAACATGGTCTAACTTTACTCGGGCCCATTTGCCTACAAAGAAAGCGGAGGTATTGAGGAGTTTTCTTTGGTTCAATGATAAAATTAAGATTAATGGCAGTTAATTCATGTCGGAAAGTTCAATTATTTACTTCCCGTTTTTGCCGTTCAACTTCGAAGCGCTTTTAAAGGACGAGAAAGGAACACAAAGGATCTATAGTGTTTTAGTGACTTCTAAACATGTGCAAAGAAAATCCATAGGTAAGTGGGATGTTAAACTGAACATAGATTTTGATTTTTCAAAGTGGTCTTTAATTTTCAATATATTCCATATACTTGTACAATTGACGCTAAACTACGGTGGTTCCAATTTAGATTAATACACCGGATCCTGGGAACTAATTTATTGTTGTCTAAGGTTGGTAAGGCAGACACCAATCTTTGTACATTATGAAACGAGGAAGAGGAGACACTTATTCATCTTTTTTGCTCGTGTGCCTACACTATCTCTTTGTGGTCCTTGGTAACTGTATGGATTAAAGAGAAGACCATTCTGTCTGTTGCAATGGGTAAAACGTCTTTTTATTTGGCAACACCAATGTTACACGTAATAGTAAAGTGGTTAATTTGATATTGTTGATCTGTTGATTCCATGTGTATAAAATGAAAATGAATGAAAAACGACCCTCACTGTCTGTCTTAAAAAAGATGTGAAGAATTATTATTTGATGGAAAAATTCATGCTTTATGAAATTGGAACTAGCTCCCAATTTCATAAGAAATGGGACCAATTAGTCATATTAGGCCAAGGCTAGCAGGTTTTTAATATTATTGAAATTTAAATCTGTATTTCTTATTTTATAAATTGTTAGCATGGATGTTTAGAAAGACACAGTGAACAATAAAGGAGAATCCCAGAAAAGAAAAAATAAATAAATATCCAATATATCATATTTATACATAGCTAACTTACAGGAACTGGGCGTTTCCTGGCTCTCAGTTTCTCAAAACAGTCTGAACGTACATGTAGTTTATTCTACTTCCATAGTTAGAGGTCACTCAGGACTAACTCATTGGCTCACGACTACAAGTCATCGAGGCTGGCCGCTGCCCTCTCCTTGCAATCCAGCAATGAACTCATCACACCAACCCATATTTTTTTCCTTTTAAACCTGACGGAAAATTCCAGTACTGCCACGCCTTATTCCAAAGAACTCAGAAAAGTTTGTGTACTACCCTTCATAAATATTCATTATTCAAATCTATGCATAAGTGGCTACAATTACCAATAACAACTCAACTGGCACTCAGCCCATCATTCTGGTAAGGTTGACTGACATCAGAAATGTTTGGGTGTGGCGGCTCAGGAAAATAAAAACTTGTTTCACCACTAAATACCACGTTTATCTTTTCAACAGTTAGGGCCAGGATTATACGGTATTACTAATTTAAAAGTAATTCCGATTTAATATCACTCTGTGACATTGAGGCATCAGTAGTGGGGGGGGGGCTGTTGAGTACAATTTGACCTTTGCAACAAAAATAGCAAAAGGTCACATTAATATGCATAAGTATAATACTTGTGATTATAAATATGAATAGGAATGAGGAAAGGGTCAACAATTATAGTACAGAGTGACCTTTGGCAAGGGATAGGAATAGGATAACGTCAGAAAGTCTGGTACAGGTTGACCCTGGTGTATGGGATAAAATAGGAATAAAGCATAGAACGGGGTAAAAATTGTGGGTATAATTTGACCTTGCTTATGAAATTATGACAGAACATGATGAAAGAGGATTAGTCAAATCATGTATCGAAAATTTCCATGTTGAGGAGGAATCAGAAATGAATGAAGTTGACGAAAAATCGGATTTTGTTGAGGAGGTCGATGACGAAACCTCGGATGAAGACATTCAGATTTGGAAGGCAATGCTGCCTACCAAGATTGGCTGGCTGAAGCTAGAAAAACACATGAGGGATGAGGGATGAAACTACGACAAGTACGTCAACGAAGGCATGGATGAAGATCAAGCCAGGCCAAAGGCAAATAGAAAGACCTTGTGGGCAGTCAAGACTTTTTCGACAACTATAAGGAGTTCCTGTCAAGTTACCTATATTTGAGGGAAAATGAAACTCACAAGGACATTGTGGAAGATCTCGAGGGAAAATATGATAAGGCATGAACTCCAACAAAGCCTTGAATAGAGTTTTGCCCAAACATGCTGAAAATCAGGGAGTTATCATCCGAGATTTTGTATCACTTATCCAGAGCTTTCTCAAAAGACTTGTGCACACAGATGAACTACAGCCACCTACGGTTTTGTTTTAAAAGTTGGGTTAAAAATTAGGGTATCCAGACGCTGATTTTCATAGGGTTGTATTACACTAATTCGGAGAGAAACAACACTGCCCGGTGACTCTCAAGGAGTGGTCTCCCGCTTCCTTTTGGAAATTCAAGATTACGGCCAAAAGTTCACTTTTCTCTTAATTCTATAGGGGCGATTTTTTGTTCATTTGCCCTTCGCCGAAGACACCCCCAAGATAGGGATAAAACTATGCGCTCTGCTCTTATTGTAGCCGCCTACCTCTGTGCAAAATAGACCCATGGGTTGGAGGTTTTTGTGAGCTTAACACGCCGAGTTGAACGCCAGAAACCCCCTAATTCGTTATTTGTAAAAACAAATCTCTCTGATCGCTCCAGAAGATGGCACTTCGTATTTGAAAAGGCCTGCTGGATCACAAAATATTCATGAGATCACGCTTAGAAATCTACTTATTTAGTGGAATGCACCGATAGGTTTGTGCACAAACATTGACACGCCTAGCAGGCGTCACTTTTTACACGAATCAGCGCTTCATTTTTTACATTAGAACGAAACATTGATTGGCATGGGTGCTAGCCTGTTTTATCAATTAATAATAATTGCGTTGGCCAATCAGCAGTGCATATGGGACTATGTCTGGGTGCTTGCGGCGTACACCAGTGCGCGCACAGTTAAGCCTGGTTTTCATATCGACGTAAGAAACGCAGAGAGCAACGGGGCAAGCAGATTAATAAGGTACTCAGTTACCGAAAGCTCGGCAATCATATATTTCAGAGCACTGATTTAATCTTATATTCTTGTCAATATTCTGACCACGGTGTTACGCAGCCCTTCTATATTGCAGAGAGCAACGCAACCTTGTTCGTAAGTGACTTCGTCACAAAGGTGGACGCGCCACGATTTGCAGGCTCCCATTGGACAATCACTGAAGTTGAGCGTTAATCTCCGGTTCCATGGTTCCATTTAAACGGCGATCAATGCATGTACCCCGATGTGCTCTGCGTGTGCAGTGGGCGTGGTTTAAAATGAAGTGACGTCATACTTACGAAGAGGATCAAGACGCAAACTGTAATGCGGACACATGGAAACTTGGCAATCGGAGGTATCGCCTACAATGCAAACCAGCCAGCAAACGACAGGAAGTGATCAACTAAACAGCCGACCGTCAATTAAATGCATTGAACTGGAGTAGAGGGTTTGGCATCATGAGGCGGTAAAGTCAATCTAACAGCACATTATTTTTCGGCGAAAAATCACAGAGTTTCGGTCGCCATTTTATTTCAACGTTAGGGTGGAAAAATGCCATGCACCGTCTCATCCGTTTGTGTCTGCGTGTTCATGTCTTGCGTCCCGTCTGCATTACAAACGACCAAATGGAAACTAGGCTTTTGTTCGCCGCTAGGTTGCGGTGTGGCAGACTCGCTGCACTGAGAACGGTGTGTCGCTGTTAGTTGTGCTGAGTTGTGTTGTGAGGTAGCGTGGGACGCAACGCAGCACAGGGGAGCGCTGCGTGTGGTGACACTGCAACGACTGGTAGGTGTAGTAGTGAGCTGTTTGGGGTCTACATTAGTTAATAGAGTTGAGCGTACGTAGTGAACAGCGAGCTAGTGGTTTTTGTTGTTGGATTGCTTGTTGTCGTGAGCACTGTTATTAGTGGGGTGACGGCATGAAGGCAACCCTGTTATCACTGTGCTATCTGGCCTTGATGTTTACTTGATGTGCCCAGATCACTGCGAGGGTAATTACCCTTTCGTTTAATATACCCTGATCTGCATGACACTCTGTTATTTGTGTGAGGGCTATCTCTACTTATTAGTATTGAGGTATCCCTTGGTTATAGGCTGGCTGTGCTAAAGCTAGTAGCTAGTCGGGTGGTTAGGTTTACCACGTGAGGCATATTGTGTCGCCTGTTGGGGTGTATTGTGTAAATAAACTTTGTGTTATTTATAAACCGCATTTGATTTGTCATTGCAATAAACAAATTACGTGATTGTCTTTGGAAATTCTTTGTCACTGTGAGGCTTACCTAGGTTTCCCTGATTTAATTGCTCTGTTACCAGATGGATCCTGTCTTTTCTAAGTGTGGTAAACTTCCATCCGACGAACTGCTCCCAGGCTTAGTCCGCCATTCTGGGTCGGTTTACGCCACAATATATAGCTCTATGATTAGTACCCGTACCTACGGGTGTGGAACCGTCCCGTTTGAAACAATTCGATTAAACGTCACCGTGAAAACTGACTTGATCTGACTTGTTTTACTGACAATACATATACAATCAAGACTACTTTTAGGCCAGTATATAGACATCCGTACTGATACCACTGGTCTTTTTCAGACCTGCCTTCGGAGGAAAGGATTGCAAGGGGAAATCGTTCCAGTTTAAAGTGTGCAACACACAGGTAAAATTCAAATTATTTACTAACCAGATACTAAATAAGCAATGGGTTTTTCGAATAGGAGGAATTACTTTTTTTCGGGCTTTTTATGCAACGAGTTGCTTTCCACTAATCATGTTGGCATATTAACATTCTTTTAAAATGTGTTACTTGTTGATATAGACACGTGGATACTAACTTGTCTTTTATCATTTGCCTATCCGCACTGACGTAATTAATGTCTCCATCCCTTGCCATTTCGCAGGTATTTGGAGCACGTTGCGTAGTGACTTGGTTAATATCTGATATCCGCCCCTCTCCGTCAGTTTTTGAGTGAGCTGAAGGACCACTTTGCTGGCTAAGCTCTTTTTTAACCCACTGTCATTTTTTTGATTTTATCTTAATAATATTTTTTTGTTGCGCTCTTTCTTGCCCTACCCTTCTATTTGGGTCTTGGGAGTCATACGACTTTTGGCGACAGTTTATTTTTAAACGTTAATGTTCTCCTGGGCGGCCTGCTGTGTCTTGTGATTGCCTTGTTGCATGTTCAATTGCCCCAAATAGATGTTATTAATTATTAAATGAATTAAACAACGATTCTAATTTTTATTTTGTTTTAAGCTAAGTCAGGAAATTACCAAACTTCTCCCAGGCACTGCCAATATTTTATCCGTAATATTCATGCTTTGTTTGTATTACTTTAATTAGCCCTGCAATGTATGGGTGGACAGACGTGCTGAGCAGTGTAGGGACCGCCTATCTACTGTTCTGATAAACGCTAAACATCAAAATTGGGTGCCTCATGAGGATCGCAATGGCAAGTCATTTTCTCATTTCATTGTTGTCAGGATGTCGACTAGTCAGCAAGGGAATTTCAAGGGAGCCCCCAAGTTCACTGAAATAAAGGAATGCAACCGTACAAATAGAACATGGAGGGCCGTATCCCGTACCCTTTGTATTAATTAATGTATCTTAATGAGCGTAAATCAGCCAGTGGGGAAGTTCAGTGGGTGTCCGGCACCTTTTTGCCTCAGTATAGACGAAAAGGTCACCCACTGTACCTTGATATTACTTTACTGACACGGACGTTTTTGTTTGCCTCACGAATTTACCTGAAATTAAAATAATGCACTAGTTTTAATACAAAGTGAAGGTGGTCGTCAAGAATCATGACTAAGGTCAGTGGTTGACCATAGACATGGTATACGCTGCATTCCAGGAAAAATGACAAATTAGCTTCCACAGTCATGGAGATTCTCTGATACCTTCTATTCCAATTTCAGAACCCTCTCAATGCAGACTAGTATGTATGTCGGAGAAGACGCTCGACATTTTGCATACTCCATACATTGTTACTGATGGCAGCCCCTGCTCTTACAATGACCAGCATAGCATCTGTGTAGGTGGTGAATGCAAAGTAGGTTGTTAATGTTAACCCGTTTTTAATCCTTGGAATGATCTGTCTCATTTTTTGTAGCATAACATGATCTAACTTTAGGAAACACACGGGGTTTTTATATACTAGTTTTTTTAAGTGGTAGAAGCCACTATTCAATACCTGGTAAAGGTACCTTTCCACAGGTACTTTTTTATGGGTGCGTTCATGCGTTTCACGTTCACGGTCACGAAAAGCGACTCCATAACGCATGGAAGTTGCGTTTGGCCGTCAAAATCGCCCCAGGAGCAATTTTGACAGATATGCAAAGTTTGGGGCAAGGGTTGACGCGCAAATGGAAAGGCACCTTATAGCTTCATCAAAAATCCCCGAGGATAGGAGCCTAGTGTCCTGGCCACCATACGATGCTTGGCCTGTTGTTCTGCATGCAGTTGGGATAACGGTGGTAGTACATGAACATTATGTAACAGGCGTATCACGTGTATGCAGCACGATTATTTGACGATGGGTTGTGCGCACGGGATAATAAGTATTGGGAACACGATAAAAGGTCTTGCACACAAGATAATATGCCGTGCGCAAGAAATAAATAAGTCTTGCGCACGAGATGATATTTCGTGCACAAGAGATAAACAATAAGAATTATTATTGGGATGTCCCTTAAAGAGCTTAGTACTTCCGTACTTTAGACTTCCATCTTTCTGAGACAGAAAAAAATATAAAAAAACCCGGACAATTCAGAGATTTAACTAATATTCACGGCTATATCTCGAAAACTGTATTGTATGGTGTAGCTAAAATTAAAACGCCTAATTATTACCCACATTCCCTGCATAGCAGCTGCATGTAAGCGGGAAGTAGAGTTTCTTGTATCACAGTTACCCACGCACCTATGCTATTTTTCACATACTGTGGACGAGAGTAAACTGAATAAAGTGGGAGCCACGAAGTGACGTATGTTCCGGACCATTATGTCCACAGGGCCCATTGTGTCCGCAGACTTTTTCAGTCCCATTATGTCCGCCCCATTGTGTCCGCCCCATTGTGTCCGCAGTCCCAATATGTCCGCCCCATTGTGTCCGCAGGCCATTATGTCCG